AACTATAACAAATTAGTCGACTTCATCTATTAACAATTTTACAAACTTAAACACTTGTATATTGTCGCACGTTGTTGTAAGCCTACGTTACAATAGACGTTAAATAATGTAAAACAAGTATACTTGTACAAAGTAGTAACTCAGTGTGCACAATAGCAAACACATAACCAAGTACTTCACTAAAACACATTGGCTGGTTAGACTCTCTATCTTTAAATAACTTTACACTCTCTTTTCACTATATTCTTAACTATCTTTCAACTCATTCTCAAACTAACTTCTCAATGCTTCAAGGAACGTTATATTTATATTCTGCACTTGTTCTAGATATCTTTAGGACTTGCTTGATCTTAAAGTCATGCGTTCTTTAGCAAACATCTAAATTAAACAAATTACAAAATTATAAATATACCTTATAACAAAATGTTTGTTAGGATATGAAAATGTGTAAGGCTTATGATCTTATTTAGTACAAATTTTCATAAAGTTTTTGTGGAATACGTGATACTGTAGTAGCATAGCTCCCTTGCTAGCAAGTTCTTTTATCCTATGAAAATAATTTAACGTTTAATCCAAGAAACAATATTAAATTACTTAATTTTCTCCTTGTACACTTGTGTAAATTGCTGTAGCCCTACTTCACAAATGAATTTAATTAACGTAAACCAAACTACCTCACTAGTACAAAGTAATCACGATAATTGACACACTAGCTGGTTCACTTTCTATCTTCAAATAACTCTACATTCTCTTAATTATATCTTTGACTATCTTTCAACTCACTCTCTAACTAATCTAAGGTTACTTTATGGAATATAATTTTTACACTGGCTTCCTGGATTGTGAAGTCCCTTGAACATTCCTAATAGAAAAATAATAAACACTACACCAACTTGTCCAATCACCAAGAATTTTTGGTGGTTTTCTTTTACAAGGCCTTTGGTAGGGATACCGTCTTCTCTCTTGTTGTCGCTGGCTACCCTGTTGTTAGGGGAGTTTCTCTTGGGTAAATGGTCAAATGAATCCACTAGCAGCTTCAACCTTGATGATTTTCTGGAAGTAGTCTCATCATAAACTCTGGGCTCCTTTGCAGTTGAGGTTCCATTGGCACATTATTCTCTGGAGTTACCCAGTTGACCATTTTTTCACTGATGTACTTCCAAAGAAGATTATGGTGGATGACCTCTGACTTGAATTGCCTCCCCTCTGAACACCTATCTAACTTTGGAGTTTGTAACACGAACCGTTCAGCTATACCTTGTCACCTTCATGTAATCCAATTTTGTCAATACATACAGCATAGCTACTTTTTACTTTATTACAAGCCAGTTTAAGTCTTGCCCAGGTAAAGTCATGCATGACATCTTTATTCTTCACATCTAGAAGAGCTCTTCCAAACACCAATCATCGTGACATGCTGGAGTATTTATTTCCACTATACTCCAGTAACTAGATGGAGAATTATTGCTAGTAACTCCTGATATGAGTTTCTCACTTCTTGATGCTACAATGACCAGCAGTCCTGTTTCCACTGAACATTCATCCTCTGGTGTTGTGATTGCCACATAATGTACAAGGATTTCTTGGTCATAGACTGTGAAGCTACCTGATTCTAGTATGACCTTACATTCATGTCTCTACGTGAAATTAGCTCTCAAAATGTACTATTCTTGGTCTTCTTTTAATTTTCTGTCTCCTTGAGAGAAGATCATCAGTGCTTTTCTTTTCCAAAAATAACAAAAGACAATGGAAGTAAAGGCATATAATTTATACTACAATCTGAATGTGAAACTACCAAAATCTGAATGTCTATACTGGAATTTATATTTATAGCACAGACAAAGGCGTGATTACTGACCATTATCATGTTCTACAGACCTTTCCAATGCTTTTCAACTTGGACTTCTTTGCATTCACCTTTGAAATAACCTCCTTATCAGATGGAAAATTTGGATCGTTGACAGAGTGACTGCACAAACTTGAGCTAGATCATTCAATGTCATTATATTGTTGGGACTATTTCTGAGCTCTTTCTATCTGCTGCATATCTTCATTGTTGCTATTTTCAAATTTTTTCGCTCATCAACTCCACATAAGAAACACCTGTTTTTAGAGCTCTTGTCTTTAAGCATTAAGATCATTGGCTGTCTCCCACCTCTTGTCATTGCTTTGGCTGTTTAATTTTGATTGGCAATCCATCACATTCACAGCAACATTTACCTCAACTGGTAGAAAGGCTGTAATGTTTTATGGAAAAAAAGAAGCTTTGACTGTTCAACCAACTTGGGTGTTCGATGCTCAAAATGTTGGGAATGAGGTGTTCCCGAATCCCGATGCATCCAAAAGTTAAAAATAGGCTAAATCAACGTCTTTTTCAAGGTGAACTCTATATGAAATTTACAAAGTGAAAGTGGCAATACCGGAATTACTTGGTTTTTCTATCAGTTACCTTTGCTCATATCATGGGTGTTAATAATGTCATCATCTCAAGTAATGCTAGGATCTCAATATTTAACCTCATGCTCGCCATCTTCAACAGTTGAAGTTTAGTCAAATCCATGGGCATCCGCAGAAAATTTTCCAGGGGGGGGGGGACAAAGTAGTGTGAAATTGTGGATTGAATAAAAATTCATATACATATGCTAAAAGAATAAAGAAATAATTATGATTACTCTTTTCCAGGGGTTGGGAGTGCTCCTATTACCCCGTTGACGCACTTGGTCAAAACTTTATTTTACTTCTGTTTTACTTTCAACATATAATCCCACTCCTGCCAACATAGTAGTACCATGTAGTAGGTTTGTTCTTTTAAATTATCTGGTGCAAATAATTCAAGGTACAGTTCGTGTAAAAATAATAAATTACTTTTTATTTCTTCTTTAACGTTTCTACAAACTTGAATACTTGTATTGCCGTAAAATTGCTGTAGGCCTACGTCACAAATGACGTTAACGAAGGTAAAAAAAATCAACTTGTACAAAGTAACTGCCATAGCTAACACACTGAATGGTTCACTCTGTATCTTGAAATCACTTTATATCTTCCTCTATCTTCAGTAACTCCACCTTCTCGTAATACATCATTGACAATCTTTCAACTCACTCTCTTTCTAACCTAAGGACGCTTTACGGAATGTCGTACATTATAATCTATGTACGAGTGTGATAGGACAAGACGTCAAACCTTAGAACTTTCTAGGCGATCTACTTAACGTCATCATTTACGACCTGCTGCTTCCTTCTAGTAAAATATAAATTACACAAATTCCAACGTTATAAATATCACTGATAGCAATACTTAACCAGAAAAAGCATTACTTCCCATGCATGTAAGGGATCAGCTTTTACAGTGTATGTCAACAGACTAAAGGAAGATGTGTTTTGTGTGCTTAAACACAAACACAAATTTACAGTTTTAATAAAATTTACTAAAATATTTAGTTTAACTATGATGTCAAGTTTCCATCATAATACGTGCAATTTTTTTTTTTATAAAATGTAAGGGGGACAAATGTCCCCTCTTGCTCCTTCCTGTGGTCGCCCATAGTGTCATTCCTTGTGCACCCCTAAATATATGGATCGTATCATCCTTAGTTTTTACCCCTTCTTTGTTGTAAGTGTAAGTTAGAGTCTCAGCATATCATTGTAATTCTCGCTCTCCTTTTTTCAGCACTCTTACCTATGTCAACATCTTTTGCTATAATAATGAATTAAATGCAACACTCTTTATGAATAAGGCCAAAGATTTAAGGTAGTAAATACAAAAATCTTTGCTACTAAACAGTTGTTCTCTAATCAGGTCTGTACGCAGAATGTTTAAAAGAGGGGTTTCTAATTAGTTTGTGAGATCAAAAGCCAACACATTTTGTGCAAAGCATACTGATGCTACGAGAGTGTGTGGGGGTATGTGACTATTTCAGGCCTCCCCAAAAAATGCTAGTGCTTCATTAGAGGAATGTAAACTAAGTAGAAAACATTAAATACTGTTACGTCTCCGTTTGTTAATTGATTTTCCGTAACTTCGTTCCGACGAAACTTAAGCGACACAAGTTCTTTCTTAATAAAACTGGTTTATTATTTCTGAATATAACTTTACCAATACACTCAACTTCAACAATCGCGCTAAACAAACGCTGTAACGTCTCTCGTGCTCTCTAACTGCAGTTCAATTACTCACTATCTACCCAGACATTACATTCCCCTATTTTATATACCAGCCTACCCTATATCTAGTAAGAACTAGAACATTCGCCAAAGTACATGATAGTTCTAGAAACGTTGCGTCACAGTAGTCATGTGACTCGATGACGCAACAATACTTTAGACTTAAGAGGAGATCTGTACAAAGAAATAATAATTTTATATACCAGCCTACCCTATATCTAGTAAGAACTAGAACATTCGCCAAAGTACATGATAGTTCTAGAAACGTTGCGTCACAGTAGTCATGTGACTCGATGACGCAACAATACCATAAGCAGCTGCGCTATAATTATATAAGCATACGTTTTTTTTAGATTACAAAAATAGGGTTTGTTTAGTTTGTTTGTTTGAAGTTAAGCACAAAGCTACACAATGGGCTATCTGTGCTTTGCCCACCACGGGTATCGAAACCCGGTTTCTAGCGTTGTAAGTCCGCAGACACACCGCTGTGCCACTGCGGGCCAAAAACAGGAAGTTCGACCGAACCCCTCGAACTCCCCCAGTGTACACGTGTGCTAATATTTATAGTTGCTAGAGCCAAAAATAAATACGGAAAAAATAGAAAGCTTCGAATTTTTAATATTTTTGAAATATAGACCTTTGTATCACCTCTAAGCCCATCAACACTAACAACAACAAAAAACAAAACAAAACAGATTTGGGTCATTCATAAAAAATTACATAAGCATGCCCTTTTTTTAAAAACGCGAAACTATGTATATGTACGTAATCAATAATTTTATAACATTATTTTAAAGTTTTTGTGTAAACACGAGTTGTTTTTTTTCAAGTAGTGAACAGTGAGTATTATCGAGTGGTATGCTAGTTGGGTAATATAACCATTTTTTAACGCAAACATATATTAATATTTTATATATATATTAATAACTTAATTTCTTTAAGTTATGCGACATTTTCAATATATTTGTTTACTTTCTGTAGGTCTTCAGAATTTTATAAGAAGAGTTTATAATCAACATGGCGGAACAGAAGGGATCGTCGCAAAGGAGTGAATTGAATAAATCAGATCTTAATGAAAACGCGAGATCCGGAGAACAGCTCACTGAACCTAAGAACATTCAGGATTTAACACAATATGTATGTTAAACAAGTTAAACTATACGATGTATGCCTTTTTTAAGACAGTTTTATAATTGATATCTGATTCTGTTCTTCAAAATTTCTATTTTAATTTTTAAAATTAAAATTTCACTTAAGTTTTAATCCTAACTATTAATAATATTCTCAATCTGCACTCAAATTAGATGCAACCGGTTTTTATATTTTCAATGTTGTACCACGTAGCATCAAGCCATCCAGTCTACTGATAATGATATCAAGATAATACATGATCTTGATGAAGCAGATTTGTATTTGTAAATACATACGCCAATTATATAGTAAATAGGTGTAGAGGCTGTCAAGAGTCTCTTCATAAGGCTTTAGGGGTTGGGTGTGGATGAAGTCATATTATCGAGTGCTTTTAATAAAAAAAAACTACTTTATACAATGGCAATATGTTAAATATAAATTAAATTCTTTTGGAGTAGGTGTAAACTATAAAAATTAGATTAGAATTAGAAATAAGTGGATGGTAATAAATGACACGTTTCTGATTGGTTGAATGTGATTGGAGAGATTTTTCAGAGCCTTTGTTTTTTAGTATTTATGAGTCTTGGGTTGATGGAAACATGGGCTTTAAATTAGCTAAATTTAAGGGTGATGCATAAATTATTGGGAATACCAATACTGAGAAGAATATTTTATATTCTAAAAGATGTCAATCGATTTAATGATTGGGTGAGAATGTGTAAAAATCGTTTTCACTATTTGGAGGCATAAACTAATAAATAGGATAGTGAAACTTGAAAGGTGAATACAAGAGTGTTGGTATTGTTTGAGGGGAAGAGTTTAGGTCTGATTGTTTAAAAGTATGAAACCTTCAAGTGAGTGTGTGTGTACAAGGTGACTAGGAAGCCTACTCAGATGATTTCAGAGATGGAAGGGTTATCTTACAGGGAAATATTAAGATTTCTTGTTTTTCTTTAGAAAATAAGGGTAAGAGGTGATACTATTGAAGCTCACAAGGTTATGTGGGGGATGGATAAGATAAAGGCCTCCAATTTCTTTGTACTATATTCTGAAGATAGTAGGATAAAAGGACAAATTTTAAGATTTTGAAAAGACAGGGTAGCCTCCACTACTGACAATGGCAACTTATTCCATAAGTGAATCATTTTGTTATAGAAATAAAACTGTTTTACTGGAGCTTAGCCTGTTTTCCTCTTAAACTTCTGTCGATCATTTTCTGGAAAATGAAGGGTTGGTTTATATTTTTCTCGAAGTCAAAATTGAAGGATCATATTTTGCCTTGCATGTATGGCATGTTAGGAAATGTATCTACAGAAACTGAAAGTGGGAACATTTTCGTTATTAGGTATAACACTGATTTAACTTCATTTGCAAGACTGATTGATGGATATTAATTTAATGAAAAACTAAAAAAGGAGCTATCAATATAATTTGTGGTGTAAAAACTAAATTGTGAGAATAGGCTTGTTCAGTTGCTCTTGTTTTTGCAAACTGTAGAGGAATTAGAGCTATTGTAATATAGATTTTGTGACTTGCTAGAGGATTTAATATAGACTAACTAGTTATTGTTTTTTTTTCATGCTAGCCTAAATCTACCTTTTTTTTAATAATTTCATTGTAAGAATCACTAACCTATGGAATAGTTTCCATAAAACCAAACAAACAAGCAAAGTGACAGAAGGACATTGGCACATTAGGGTCAACCCTTCCCATACTGAAATATGCTACAAAAATAACCTAAACTAAATGTTACCCTTCACATCCATGTACCATATAACTGGGAAAATATTCTACAAGTTTGTAATGCAGTATTTACTCTGCTGAAGAACAAACTCTATTCTGAGCTTTTAAAACTTATTCCTGTTACTGTAATATTAAATTTTTCATATCAAATATTTTTATTTTGTCACAAACAGGATATTTATAGGCAAAAATATCTGAATCAAGTCACGTCTAAATATTTCACACTAAGAGAAAACAAGTAAATTTCTAGTTCCCTTTTTCTAGCATTTTGATGTTCTTCCATTAGCAAGGGAATAAAAATATTCATACATCACACTTAAATGTGGCCTCACCAGACTTGTACACAAGGGCTATTAGCTTATTTTACCACAGCAAATATTTAACTGAAGGTTTTTAAGCTTTTCTTATCGGTTATCATACTTAAATTCTTATCCTTTTCTACAATACAAATGCTTCCTTCATACATTTGTCTTTCCACCTTCCCACGCCCTTAGTTCATCACTTTACACTTTTTAGCTTAGTATACTCACATTTTAGTATTCTCAATAATAGCAGCCTTTCCCATTTTCTTAGTATCATCAGCATATTTAGAAGGATAATTGCCTAAAAAATATCCAAAGCATTGACATAAGAAAGATTATAAAAGGACCAAAAAAAGACCTGTAATAGACCCTACTAATCTCACTCTCTCAGTGCAAAGAGCTCTTTGTCATCAAGTGTTTGTTGTTTCCATCAGAATTATTGTCCCACTGATTATAAGGTCAACATATTATTTTATATTCTGATATAAGAGATGTTATCAATGCTTAGGACATGTTAGTCACCCACAAACATCAAGAAAATTAAATGTAATGATTTTTCTCACAGATATAACTTTTCTAACGATATAACTTAGCTCCTTCATTCGATAAATATACCATCTAGGCTTCAAGAGCTTTTAATAATTTAACTCACTATTGCCCTACTTCTACTGGATTATATAGAGAACAAAGATTCATTACTTAGAATGTACATTATTGAGACTAGGATTCAGTTTAGTAGCTCTTTGCTAATGAACTGGCAAAATTCACAGCAAAAACAAAATTTATTTTTCCTTAGTATTACAAATGCACTTTCAACCAAATTGCAATACTCTCCAAATTATCATATCCCAGATGTATAACTTTGCTTTTCCTCATGATTTTTGGTTACTATCAGTAATAGTGAATGTAACACAAAATATACAATATTCATGTCTTTATATAATATATAAAAAAGACAAGAACCATTATAAGGACTATTATTGCTAGCTTTTGTCCAGTCTGAAAAATTTTTCATTTACAATCACTCTTTGTTTACTTAAGGTAGGCAAATGAACTGCTAAGTTCTGGATACCACCACTACTTCTGTAACAATCTAACTTGCTAACCAGTCTGTTGTGAATTAACATACCTAAAAGCCAAGATAGCTGACATTCCTAGGGTAATATTAATCCAAAGAACAAACTATGAAAGTATATAAAGAACCTTTGACTACTGTTTATTCCACTTGGTTTGATGATGGATTCAATTTCTTTCTAGACATAGAGTTATAAAACAAACTGGCCTTTAGTTTTCAGGTTCTGAACTGGACCCAAGGAAATCTGATGATAATTTTCAAATATGTTGGTTATTTCATGGTACTACACCCAAACAATGGGCATACATTAGTTAAATGAACTCACTAAAATACTAAACAAGCAATTTATTTCATTTTCTGGACATAAAATCAGAAAATTGTTAGATCGTACAAAATACTTGAAAGGAATTGTGAACTACTGTATAGTTTGAATACATTTTTTTAAATGTTGAAAAAAAGAAAGACATTTTCTGTTCAGGCATGAGTAACAATAAACATTTCCAAAGACATTATGTTACAGTACTTTATATAACATTTATTTTAAGTAAACATATTGTAAGACAAATTTTAAAATGCCATAGACTATTATGTAAGCTATTAATATATTGAGCCTTGTACTTAGTTTATAAAAAGAATTACATTCTGCAATGAATCTAGTTAACTAAACAAAAGTACAATCAGTGATTAATCTAATTAAGTCATCATTTTGCTTTATTTCCTCAATCACACATGTTTAAAGCATTACATTTAGCCTGTAACACTGTGTGTTTCACAATAAATATGCTCACAATTCACCGTAGATGCCATCTTAATCATTGTAATATGTAACACATGTTCATAAACTTGAGTTATAAGTTCACCAATGATAATCACTGATCTAACACTGATGATGTGTCCATTCTGCCTCTCGATCTCACTGTCTTAATATACGGTATGGACATTAAAGGACTATTGGTCATTCAAGGCTGTTCTTACACACTCACTCTTCTTGACAAAAATAAAAATTTAAAACCACCCTTTATTTTTCAGGCTTATAGCTAAGAAAAATTACATATGTTTGTTTATAATCTGCTAGTTTAAACTGCAAATTGCTACATAACTATCAAATCTCAGTATGTTCTACTTAACACTAGTACCAGTTCATTACATATGTGATTCTTTGTCATGTACATGATCATAGAAGAGCTTCAGAAAGTTCACATTGAACAGCTTTTACAATATAATACTTAAGTGTTATATATCTATAATAATAAAAGGGTGTGCATGTCTGTGACCACCAAAAATTGCAAGAGGAAAGAACCTAGAAACTTGAAATTTTGCACACATACTAAGTGGGCCCTGAGGGTGTGCACCTGGGTATTATTACTTATCCATGTGCATGCATCCTTATATAACAACTTCTAATATATAGAAAAGTCAGTGTGTTTTGGTAACAATGCGTTCCAACAATGGCTTAGCAACAAAAGTCTATAGGTTATGCTAAAATGGGTTTAGAATTTACACACAACCAACCTAATAACTCGAGCAAAGCCAGGTACTTTGCTAGTATGATAATAAATGTATAACATTATAAGTATGTAATTAATGCATAGATTTAAGAAAATGTGATATTGTAGATATGATGGTGACTCATATGGCATGCACAATAAAAGTGTTATCTTGAACTAATGAAACTTGAATGTTTTCACTATATACTGGATTAAAAAATTAGAGAATCCATATCTTTTAGAAAAGAAAAAATTTATGAAGCTGTTGCTAAATGTTCACATGAATACTGTTGGTTTCTTTCTTTTTTTTGTGATCTACACCCACCATTTATACTATAAAACACTTGTTAAATTTATACTTTTTGGTTAACAAAATAAAGGTATTAATAAATTTACACTGAAATAATTAATGTTTATAAAAATGTAATTATCTTACTCACCACATCAGTACTGACTCAAATGTCTCCTTAATTGTATGTTCATCTCTCAGACACAAGTGAATTAATTCATGATAAACAGAATGTAACTATTTACTAACATCCATGTATTTATTTAAATTTTCAGGTAGAAGACCTACTGCATCAACTGCAAGAAAAATTTCAGGTGATGTCAGACCAGATTTTAGCACGAAATATCCTTTGCAGTGTAGTAGAGTTGCTGTATTTGTTTTTAAACTCCAAGTCACTGTCTGGATCGTAATGCAATATCCCAGATTTATGGGATAAACTTTCTAATGAAGTTCCCCCTTCAAGAAGATCAATATTCTTAACAAATTTATTTCTTGAAGACCATCAAGTAATATATGATAAGAAAAATGTAATTCCTTCTTTCAGAAAGCCATTTTTCCTTAAAAAGGTTTTTTTGTTTTTACATATCAGTTATTCTTCCCATGCATTTTTATTCTTTGAGATCAATGTTTTGGGCTTTTTGCCCAGTACAAGAACTAGTTAACAATTGAGGCTGTGTGTCTCTATCATAATTAAATTGGAGTATATTTATTATCCAAGACAACTTTATTCATTGTGTGTGCCAGGCCTAGTGGTTAGTATGCCAGACTGTGAATCCAAGGGTCCATGGTTCACATCCCTTTTCTATACAATCACACACTGCACTTTTCAATTGTGCATGCACTATAAAAGTGTTAGTCAAATACTACTATTTGATTAGATTAACCCAAGAGTTGCTAGTGGATGCTGTTGACCAGCTGCCTTCCCTGTAGTCTCATCATTTCAAAATTAGGGAGAGCTAATGCATATATCTTGTGTAGCATTGTGCAAGTATTCAAATCATACACAATTATTCACTGGTTGCTTCCAAACAATTTGTGTGTGTGGTATAATGTTAAGTTTATAAAATTATCCCTAAGATATTTTATAAAAAAAGACACTCATTAGAAGCAGTAGTCAAAGTGAAAAAAAATAATTTTTTATTGAAACTAATAAACCATTAAGATTATGATACCTCAAAATGGCCATTTTAGAAGGCTAATAAGCTTTGTTAGCACTTGGTAACAGTACTGTGATAGTGTAACAGGGATACTGCGTTGTTTTTATCAGATTCGTTAAGCCATACTATTATAACGAATTCTGACATTGTGTGGAATCTTTTGTTGTATTTGGTAAGGTCAAGTACAGTGCAGGTAATGTTAATGAATTAATTTATTTCTTGATTATCGTTTGTTATAGTACAGACTATGTTCACTTGTAGGCGTAATTCACAAACAAACTTTCAACAGAAACTACAAAACTAATATAAGCCTAACTTACTTATAAAGTTACTTGTTAAATTTCTTCACCAATCATTGTGTCACTTCTTGTTCAAAGCAGCCCATTTCACAGCAGAGATTTGTTCAAAATTTATATTGTTTGAACTTGGTGCATTTAAAGCATTAAATTTAATAATAATCTTGAATTTTGCGTCTACGAAAAACTATATCTTACATCAAGAAGCAAGAAATTTCCACAAAAAAATTAATCATGAAATGCTTCTCTAATTCAGGCTTAAGCGCTTATTCTAACCCTAATATAAACTGGAAGTTAAATGGTGTGAATCAGAAAAAAGCGGGAAATTTGAACAGCAGCAATATCTTCATTTTCCACATTGTTTGGAGGAAGAGGTCTTCATAGCACCTGACCCTACTAGGTCGCACAAACATGACTAAAAACCAATCGGTCGAGAAGCAGAGATACGTATTATCTGGAAAAGGTCTTCGTAGCACCTGATCCTACCAGGTCGCACAAACATGACCAAAAATCAATCGGTCGAGTAGCATAGATCTGCATTATCTGGAAGAGGTTTACATAGCGTCTGACCCTCCTAGATCGTGAAAAGGATCTAGATCCCTATCAAGATTCGTTCTTTCCGCATTGTAGCTGAATATTATTTTACTGAAACCCCCCCCCCCCCTCAGTGGCACAACGGTATTTTTGCGGAATTACAACACCAGAAACCGGCAAAGCACATATAGCCCATTGTGTAGCCATTGCGCTTAACTACAAATAAACAATTACTGAAAAGTTTGGTAATTATGGAAAACAAGCCAAAATGATAATTTTATTTATCATCTTTGACTTGTAGAATGTCGTTGTGGTGCGAGTTTTTTCAAACAACTATTTACTGTAGCTACTGTAGTAACGATATAGGGGTTATTCTATAAAATACTGTCTGTTTACTTTTCAATATATGGAAACGTTTAATATAAATTTGCTTTGCTTTTGGATTACTAAGTTAGCATTCCAAGTTTGGTCTGGATCGGTCTTGCTAATCTCTTTATTTATAGTTTTACAGAGAAATACAAGTTAATATAGATAGAGTAAGCACTCTTAAATCGTTGAACATAAAACGTGCAGAAATACACTTCTTTTTCCTTTAACCTCGATTATGGTTTTGCACCCGATTTCCATCACATTGTGCCCCAACCCCCTCTGCATCAAATTAAGCTCAAATTGCCACATTTTTTAAAAATATTTTTCTGGGGGAACTTGCCCCCCTCCAACCTCCTTAATTTATTTTATTGTAAAAGGGGGGCGTACTTCTGACAAGCTTGGTTCGCTTCCAACTTTGAACCCATCTAAAAATGGCTTCCAACACTTATGACCACCCACCCATATATTCACACACACACACACACACACATGCTTACTCATGTTGTATGCACATCATGGAACTCTATTTTTATTAAAGTTTTTGTAATATGCAATCCAACAGAAAATATAAACTGAAAAACTCCCAATTCAAAGCTTCATTGATAACGAAGCATGACAGAGAATGTTGAATAAATTACAGTCCGAACACTGTACCTTTGTGTAGGCTATGCACGAAAATTCCAAGCAAGTTAACTTAAAACTTTTAATAACTATAATCTTTGGTCTTACGTTAGTATCATGGAGCGCGGTTGCGATCACTATGTAGGTTAAACATGGAGGCCAGGACGTTGGCAAAACCCAACGCCAAAGGGATAGAGACGAAGACCCTTTCACTAATCAAGTACAAAACTACCTCTAAAGTTCGGCTAATCTTCCTTGAAGTTTAGAAAACGGGTTGCAAAAACATCGATTTTCTTCTTCTTCATTCTTCTCCGTCAGAGTGACTAAAACACTTCACTATTCCCTAACATGTGTCTTTTCAAGCCTAGAGCAGCAAGTGATCCACGATAGGTTAGTTACAGCCCAAAGTACTAATCACATTCTCTGATCAGTAAGCTATTATGTGCATTATTTGGAAGTAGATAACCTACCGTATACTATCCTGGTCATGAGTTATCTTGCTTGAAGACGTAATGTCTACAGATTATATTATGGCTTTTTATAGAATAGAACTGAATAAGTTACAGCCCCACTGGAAGCCAAGCTTTTTGCTTAACTACAATCAAACAAACAATATATATATATATTATACTGAAACCCATTATTACGCTATAAGGCTTGGCATGCGAAGTGGTTAGGGCACTCGACTCTCTATCTGAAGGTCTCTGGCTCGAGTCCGTTTCCGAACATGCTTGCCCTTTCAGCCCTGGCATTATAATGTGAAGGTCAATCCCAATGTGTTGGTAAAAGAGTAGCCCAAGATTTGGCGGTGGTTGGTGATGACTAGATGCTTTCCCCTTAGTCTGTAACTTCAAAATTAGGAATGGCTAGTGCAGATAATCCTCGAGTAGCTTTGCGCGAATTTAAAACAAACAAATATATCTTACGCTATAACCCATCAACATTTTTCTTATAGTGTGTTTCACTGTCAGTATGGTATTTATATCCTAAAATCCTGTTTGTTTTTTATTAAGCACAGAGCTACACAATGTGCTATACCCATTGCGAGTATCGAAACTCAGTTTTTAGCGTTATAAGCCTTTAGACTTACCGCTGAGCCAATGGGGTCTACCCAGTTAAAAACATAAATATATTTCAACTCACACATAAACCCTGTATATTTTATTTATTTACAAGGAGTGTATTAAAGTAATTGCCGAAGTAAATAAAAATGACATATCTTCAGAATGATTTGGTGATGGTCATAAAATTTGAAAGTATAATTCAAGATGCCATAGGATTTCTTTATAGCTTTTTTTTGGGGGGTCATAGGAGGCGTTGTATATTCTTACAAGTTGTTGGATAAATGATTAAGAGTTTGAACTACAGTGAATAAAAGTAATAATGCTTGCACGAAATCTTTACATGGCTTTAGTGGACGATTATTCAGGAACGTGCGATATGATTTAAAATTGCAAGCATTTGGATCGTCCCTTGCCAATCGGAGATATTGACGACCTAGGTGATGCCATTGTAAGGGAGTTTGCTCCTGCAATGTGTCGAACATAAAAGTACTTGAAGAAGTTGTTGATGGACACTTTGGAATACTTCTTGTACGACTTGCTCCCTACTATCAAACTGCAATCGGTACATGATAATATACACGGAAATCTGTTGTGTCACTTGTCTATGAACACGTGTCAAGAAATGTCGTGGTATTTTGAGTTGTCTTCCATAATTTGATGACAATCTGTTTAGCCGTTCTGGAGATATAACATTTTTATTCAGTGCAACGGTTTGGTGAATATTTTTTATTAGTGGCTCTCAGTATAACAATGTCGAACAACTTCGATAGATGTCGCTAGTTTCGAATCGGCCATTACTGAAGTGAAAGTAAAGAAAATTTCAATATCAGCAGCGATGAGTTATACTTTTGAATGAAAGCAATATATATATAAAGGTTATTGGTAAGATATTAAACAAACGGAACAAGAAAGTCGTGAATTATGAACACCGGTTTGGTAATATAACGGAATTAAACTGATATTTAAAATACATTTTAAACACATTTTACTTTCTTCACATCAACAAGAGGGAATCCTCAGTAGCAGCAGTACACGAAATTCTTTTAGGCAGGATTAGAGTAAATTAATGTATGAGATCTTGGGCATGGTCAAATACTCCAATCGGAAGGGTTTCACCTCCTGAGTCCAAAACTGTAATTAGATCTCAAATCGGTCAAGAGATGTTGGAGCTATGAGTAAAGGTTTGTACTTAAAAAGAACAAACTCAGAGCCATTCTATGAGCCGCTATGCCGCAGCTAACAGGCTTGAGGGCTTTATATTAGTACAATTCAGAGTTCGATCCCTGCAGTAAGCTCAGCGC